TTGCAGTCTCATGCATTAGCCTAAAGCGCCACAGCAGGTATTTATAGAGCAATGATAAAATGCTAGAGTAGTATATGTTGTTAAGTGCTGTCGATTTGGTTCCTACTCATAGCTATCATGCATAGGGTTTCCGAGGAACAGCTGGTAAGTTTGAACAGCCAACCTTGCAGTTTAAACCAACCGTTTGGTTCAGTGCTTATCCTACACAGCACCATAGCAATCTATGCACCCTTGTACATTCACACATACAAACACACACACAAGAAGGGGCTTCAAAAGTTCATGAAAAAATCCATTATCTTTAAATATGATTTTTCCACAAACATTTTAAGCCCACCAGCTGGTCCACAGGAGAAAGATGAGAATGTCTGCTCCTGAAAAGATTCTCAGCCTCAGATATCCTATACAAGATCGACATGAGTCGAAACCAACTTGATGACACTTACCAACAACACATATATGACACCTAACAAAAACATATATATGACACAACAAAAACATACAGTTTAATATATATATATATATACACACACACACACAAATATATATAGGAAGCTTAAACTCATTTAACTCATTTTCCTCTTAATCTTCAGGACTGCAGTAATTTTAACAAACATAGTAATATCAGAGAACTGGCAAAAGTTCACATAATAAGCTAAATTGCTCACCATTGACAGAATATTAAACAAATTTCCTATTCATCCTGTCACATGATCTGGCTAGTTTTCAAACGTTTTGGGTGTGGGGAGTACAAAGATTTCTCCTGCAGAGGCAGAAATAACAATTCCCTGATTTTGTTGCTGTCAGGAAGGACCAGCCCCTGACAAAAAGCATCATGTTTGGTACAGTGAAGGGTCAGCAAAAAAGAGGAAAACCCCAGTGGCAACAACAGGTTCAAACATAACAAAAATTGTGAGGATGATGCAGGAATGGGCAGTGTTTCATTCTGTTGTACAGAGGGTTGCTGTAAACCAGAACTGACGTGATGGCACCTAACAAAAACAATTTTTTTGCTACATGTAGAGAATAATACTATTCTCTTCCCGATGCAGAAAGTGGATGTCAAGAGGAAAAGATCTCAAATACTGTAAGGTCAAGGCAATGGTAAAAGGCTACAGTATAGCATTTTAAGTCTTTTGCATCAAAATTTTCATAGTAGTTCGATTTGAACCCACTTTTCCTACTATAAGCACATTTTTGTTATTTGATATTTATAATAGTCACAACGCAAAGACTAACATAGGTTTCAAATTGAAGAGATATATTATACACTTATAAATGGATTGACTTCTATACTTTTTAAGTTTAATTTTCCTGCTATAAAAGAAAATTGAGTGATAACGTGGATATTTTATATACTAAAATTAATGAAAAGGGCAAATACATAAGCAATCATTTCTAGGTCAATAAGCCCATCAATAATAAATACATAAATGTATTCTAGTAATATCTATATGAAGAAGGCCATAACTGTAATCGCAAAGGACATTTAACCCTAGGGCCATCAAGAGAGAAGAGCACAAGCGGAATGTGGAACCCTATCCAGAGAAGCAACGACACCAGATATGGAGGCAGAGATGAGGACATGGAGAGAAGGAGCAGCCGAGGACTAGATTCATGGAAAGAGAGGAACTGAGAGTTGGTGGCCAGAGGCAGGCTTGCAGAATGTGCCCTTTGGTTGTTTAAGTTATTATATGTTCCTGGGTGTTTTTGTGTACATCCCCCAACCCAGGCGTGGAGGGAAAAAAAAGGAAAGAAACAGAGGGAATGAAAGCAAATACTGTTGAATGATGATGCGTGGAGGAGACTGTAATCACTGCAATAAAATGATGGTGTAAAGCCAATGCTCTCCCATGTAAACTATCACTCAGTTCACAATAAAAACTTTTTAAAAAGACACTTAAATTGCTTTTATAATGTAAAAATATATATTTCATTTCCTTAACAAGAAACTATATACTTACTTTAAATAAAATATGCATGTTGGGTCACTTTAACATGTGATATAAATTTGTACTGTGAAAAAAATTGTTAATAAATAAAATTTTAAATGGGAGGTTATATATCATGAATAATTTCAGATGCTGAACATGAGACTGTATCTTGGCCTTCTGTCTTTGCTGTATATTGTGCCCAGTTTTGGAGAGCAGGGTTAGCAGACTGCCTGAGGCTATAAGCTCTGTTCAAGTCAGCCTAGTTAAATATTGTACTTCACCATAGCATATGCTCCTTCCCAAGGCAGCCTGCATCCAGTGGAATAAACTAGATAAATCACCTCTTAGATCTGTCTCTGCTTTCTATCCATACTGAATATTCTCTCAGTACAGCTATTAAAGTAGCCTTCAACTGAGCTCTTTACTTCTACTGTCCCCAATATAACGTTCCTCATAGCATTTCAGAACTATCTACAAAATCATCACTTTTATCAAGTGAGTAATTTCTTTAGTTTCTTTAACTAAAAGAACATTTAAAATTTTTACCTCTAATATAAAAATTGCCTCTGGTAAACAATCAGTGTAATGAATTAATGGGCTATGCAAACATCAGTTTGCATGACATTGAAACCACTATCAACTGCTCTGAAAAGGACCACATTAGAAGGTCCTGGATAGAGTGGGAGGTAAATTTGAAAAGCTAATCGCAGGTTACAGACTACTGGAACTCCTAAAACTATGACTCTTAGTCACCTTTCTTTGAACTCATCCCTTTAGCTCAATGTTCAGTCACACAATAATAAACCATTTGAAAGCACATGGGCAGCATTTACCCAAGGATAAAGTTCAGAAGGATTATGAAAGAAGGCAAAATGGAAACAGGAAACACAGGGAGGAAGATAAAAGAGTGATGATATTACATTGTGGGGATTGCAATCAATGAAATGAAATAAAATGTGTATGAATTGTTGAATGGGAAACAATCTGCTCTGTAAACCTTCACCTGAATTCACAATAAAAAGTTAAAAAACGAAAAGGCTACCCCTTGAAATTTACCTATCCAACATTATTGCACACCGCCTCCTAGCATGAATCAGACAGATATGACATATATTTTTATTCCAGATACACATTTAATGGATTCTCATTTTCTAAGTCAACTCTTTCATATAGCATATAACATTGTAAATAATGCCATGTTGTGCTTAACATGATTACTTCATAAACTTGTGAACAGTTTACTGAGTATTGTTTTAAATCACATCATATATTTATCTCTGGTGACCTAAGCTAAAATATCTAACTTAACAACTCCTCAAAATAAGAAACATCTGGATGTAGATGATGAACTGAACAGTCTCCATTCATCATTTAGATGCTGGGCTATAAAACTAGAGTCTAAACAAAAACCAATGCTGATTGGGAAATTTCAGGAAAATTATATATATATATGAGCTCTGGTAGTGTAGTGGTTACAAATCGGGCTGCGAACCTTAAGGTCAGCGGTTCGAAACTACCAGCTGCTCCACGGGAGAAAGATGAGGCTTTCCACTACCGTAAAGATTTACACCCTC